CCTGGATTCACTTCCTAGCACTACAAACAAAAAATTCTGAGAGATATACACATTAAAGAACCACAAAGGATAAGAACAAGATAAGTATTCTAGGGGCTGTGGAGATGGCTCAGTGGATAGTCTGTGCTGCACAAGCATGTAGACCGAAGTTTGGGACCTTGGGACGCACATAAATGGCAAGGGGGCGTGGTGAGCCACCTTTAATTCCAGGGCTCAAAGCAGAGACTGGAAATCTCTAAAGCAAGCTGGCTATTTCAATTAGCCGTACTGGCAAGCTCTTGGTTCAACTGAGAAACCCTTCCTCGATGAACAAAATGGAGAGTATTTGGGGAAGACTCCTGACATCAACCTTGGATCTCCACATGCACCCGTACATGAATGCATCTACACACACACACACACACACACACACACACACACACACACACACACACACACACAGAGTCTAAAACATTACCACACATATAATAATAAAGTCCTCTTCAAGTCAGAGGATAGCAGTAAAGGGAAGAGCTAAGGGCAAATGGACAGACAACCACAAAAGGACCATATCAGTTTTGTGCCCTTGTCTCCCAGCTTTTGGGGGTCCCCAGCTGAATGCTCAATGAATATTTGCTGGAACAGTGCATAAACAAAATGGCTTCCTCTAACAGCTTGGGGGTTTTGCTTTTAACAAAGAATAAAAGAAATGTCCTTCCCCTCAGAATCTCTACTAAAGACAGCATTAATTCCACTTACTGGAAGCCCTCCTAAGGATGACAGAGGGAAGAATGTAAACCTCACACAATAACCATTTTAGGCAATAAATGATCAAATGCTACTGTGATAGCAAGTAAACAAATCTGTCACTTCACCCATTCTCTATGCTGATGCATTAGCTGGGAGTGAGCCTTTTAATAGAACAGTATAAGTCATTCGCAAGTTTGCCAAGCACCTTCTGAAACATACATTCATTTGCTTCAAATACCACCTCTTCCTAAGTTGATTTTCTCCTCCAACCACATCAACCACAATTACATCACATGTGTCAGATCCATGTGGTCCAAATGATGGACAGGACCCCTTAATGTATCACCATAGCAACAAAGGGACTACATTTCCCACTCTCTATCTGCCACAGCCCAATCAATTATTTAACATGCCTATACTTCGGTTGCATAGTATAAATGAACATGTTCATTAGCAGCAAGAGTCAGACCTGAGAAAAATCACAAGCACCAAACAGTAAAGTGACCACAAAACAAACATATTCTCGTTGGGGGTAACATTACAATGCATAGTATAAAGGGATGGAGGAGAGACCTTTCTTAGTTTTAAGCTTCTGCTTTAGAATGACGTGAGCTCATGCGTTCCCAGCTCTTGTTTAAGGAGGCGGGTAGGGATACAGGGTCTCAGGAAAGAAAAACACATTAACTATACATACACCTTTTATCAAAGGTTACTGAAAATGGGATGATTATATGAGACAGAGAGCCAAAGAATGAAATTCATTTTTAATTAATCTTCTATACCTTTGATTTTGGTTCTGGTCTGTTTTCTGGATTATCTCTCATCAGGAAAGTGGGAGACTTGATGATTCAGGGAATACACAGCAATCAACAGGCTGCTGTGATTATCCTCTTCCTACCTGGTCACATCTCCACTGACTTCCCTGGGAGAATTCTAAAGAGAATCTCAGAGAGGTTCCTCTGCTGCCTTGATAAAAGAAAAATGTTTCTATCATAAGTACCAGAAAGAGATTAGTTTGAGTCTAGTGTGTCCAGTCACACTGGAATATACCTCAAAATGTTAAGACCAATACCCCCAAAACCATCAGTTCTATCTTAAACTATCTCATGAATCAATTTGAATTGGGTCCAGGTTAGGGTGGTCTTCATGTCTTATACACACAGGGATCCAGAAACTGTGTCAGCATTGAAAGATGGAGTCAGCACTGGGACCATGAGGCTTTTCCATTCATGTTATTGGGTTTTTTCATGCCACACATAGAAAAGAAAAAGAATAAGTGAGGGTAGTCTTCCTAAAGATTCTGTTCTATTTACAATAGATAACAATCAAATAAAGGCTTCATAAAAAAGAAAAGAAAAGAGAAGAAAAACGAGTTTTTACTTGGTTAAAAATAACTGACATGACCCAGAAAGGACGTCTCTAACTCACGGACAAATTAAAAGGCATATGTAAAGTCTGAAGAAGCTGTTCTTACACAGCCTTCTGTGTACTGCCCGAGATATAGTCCTCTGCATTCTGTGTCCCGATATCTAACTTAGCACAATTTAGAGCTGTCAAGCTTTGATTAGACTACAGGGATGACTAAATAATTTATTAAAACTGTAGCTTCCAGACCAGTAGTCCTTCTATCACAGATAATAATTTTATTATGGTAAATAAAAGAAATCATATTAAATTACCATAATATACAATTATTTTACTGTTCATACAGAAAAAGATGTGGAAAATATTAAATATTTACCAAAAATAACAGTTTCCTTCTTAAAACCCATCTTCCCCAAGAAAAGTATCACAAGACCTAAAATGAGATCTAGGGTGGCCCTTCTCCTGCAAAAGGCTCCTTTAAGTGGATAAATGATCACATAAAGCAGCTAAACATTTACAAATACTTCACACAGCACTATAATTTTGTGTATATACCCACATAAAATAAAAGCATGTGACCTCGGGGATCATTTATGCAACTAAATGCCTTTCTGGTTAGCATATAAAAAAGCTGAAGACAGATAACCTTTCACATCCGACAGCACACACAGGGAGAGTTATGACCACTGCTCGGTTTCTATAATTGAGTGAATGCCTTTAGACAATTGGTCAAATATTCACCTCCTATTTTCAGTCAGCTGACATGCATGCAAATGCATATATATTTATAAGATGTTATGAGGCCCATGGAGAATAGTTAAGTTTTAGGAAAGTTCTTCCACTGAAGGTTTTGGTTTTTATAATTCTCTAATAATTTTGGTTGTTACATAAAAGAAACAATATGAAAATGGTATGTAAGGGCTGCTATGGCTTTAGAAGGCGTTCCCTGAAGGCCCATGTGTTAAAGGCTTGGTCCCCAGGATGGTGCTCCGGGAAGACAGTAAACCTTTAAGAGGTAAGGTCTTGTGAAAGGCCCGTAGGTCATCGGGAGCGTGCCCTTGCAGACAGGGTGCTCTGGTCTCTTTCTATGCCCCTTTAGCTTAGATTCCTGGCTCCTGATGTAAGCAGTCAGCACTAATAATGAGATGGTCCCCGCTTTTGCCACCCCACACGTCTACCAGATGCACAGAGCAATGGATCCACCTAACCTTAGATTGGAATCCCTGAAAGCAGAAATCAAGACAAACCTGTAATAAATGATTTTTTTCTAGACGAGTTACATTTATCATTTATTTCATTACAGAGACAGAAAGCTGACTAGCCAGAAGCAAAGTACACTGTCCTCTCCCAGATGGCAAGAGCGTCATGGGCTCTGATCAGAGCATTCATTCTACTTTCTTGTAAACAGAAGGTACCCTCATTTGCTCCAGAAATAAAAACTAGACTATACTATATAAAGCTAAATAGTAGTACTGCACTTATAAATATTTGCCTTGGATTTTGTATAAAAAAAATTTTTTCTTTTCAGATATCAATAGCTGAACAGACATATCTATTGTTTTTAACAGCAAAATCATAAACTTCAAGATTGCCCAGTGATTCCATGTGATTTATGGAAGAGCCGCCTGTATGATAACAACCATTAAAAATGGTGCAAGCCAGAAAGGTGGATCTTTGGATACAAATGCTTGTTGTGTAAACCTTAGGACCTGAGTGTGGTCCTCAGAACCAAAGTGGAAAGAGAGCACCAGTTCCCAGAAGTTGTACTCTGGCCTCAATGCACATTCCCACACTCACACACATACATTATACACACAACCATATACACTATAATAGTTTCATAAATGGTACAAGACTACCAAAGAACAACTATAGAACAGAATAGAGTCCCCCCAAAATAGACCTCCTCATACAAAATCATGATTTTCACAGAGTCACTAGCATAATCCAACAGGTAAAGAAAAACAATAGAAAAACTAGAAATCTTGAGCACAACCCCACCTCATTCACAAAAACTAACGTGATAGGTAATATAAATGAGAATACAAGTGATAAAATCATAAAGCTGTTGGTGAGAAACAAAAGAAAAATCAGGATGTGGAAGAGGGCAAAGGTTTCTCAGGCAGGTTACAGAACTAGACCATGACTAGTAAGTATGACGACGCCAACATTTAAATCTCATTGAAGACAGTCTTTAGAAAATGAAGAAGCAAGAATGGAAGTCGTCAGGAGCTTCAAAACACAAGTGGACAAGGACTTTCTGAATAGGAATCCTACTGCTCAGGAAATAAGGCCAAACATGGACAAATGACATCTCATGGAGTTAAAATGTTCCTGCATGATGGAAACAGCTAATCAGGAGAAGAGACACTTTAGAGAACAGTGGACAGAAGATTGGTTGATATCTAGAACATACGAAGAGCCCAAAAGAACTAAAGAAGTCAAAAAACATAGACAGAAAATGAGTTAAAGACGGTTATCAAAAGATGACGTATAAATGGGCAATAAACATGAAAAAACATTCAACCTCACTAACCATCAGAGAAACACAAAGGAAAACTGCATTGAGATCCTCTTTCACCGCGGTCAGAATGGCAGCCATTAAGAAAACAAATGGCAAAGGCTGGCGAGGATGCAGACCAAAGGGAACCTTTACATGCTGCTGATGAGGTGGCAAATTAGTTCAGCCACTGCGGAAATCAGTGTGGAGCGTTCTCACAAATAAACTACAAATAGGTCTACCATATGATCCAGCTACACCACCCCTAGGAATTTGCCCAAAGGACTCTGAGTCAACCTACGAAAGAGATCCTTGAACATCCATGCTTTCTTGCAGCACTGCTCACAATATGTAAGAGGACAACATAGGTGCCCAACAACAGAGGGATGGATAAAGAGGTTCTCACCTGTTTCACAACTGGATTGGTGATGCCACTGACTGACGCCCTCACAGCAGGATTCAGCAAACTGAACATGCAACGGGGGCTGCTAAACAAAGTTCTGCCACCACTGCTCTGAAATTACAAACAAACAAACAAAAAAGATGCAGTTTCAATTTCACTGAAGAAGAATCAGTCAAAGCTTTCACTCATCAGAATGAAATTCTCCACATTGATATCTATATGATATCTTCACTGCCAAGCCTGCTGCTGGTGAGACTGATGTGGAATTTAATATGTCACAAGTGTTTGGATCATAGATGTGTATTTGACACATCACTTTCTATGTCTCATCTTGAATCTCTCACCAGAAACAAGACTCAGATACTAACACAAAGTATGCTGGAGACCACGGTGCATAGCATCGGGTTGCCCATGGCTGGTTATAACGGCGACCTGATACTATACACCCTGGTCTTCAGCATACATACAAAAATCACATTTTCCAAACTTGTCCATCTGCTATTTTGATTGTTTCCATTGTTCTATTTTGAGTTGTGCTCATGGGAACTCACTCTCAATCAAATAATACTTAACGTGGAGAGATATATGTCTGAGATTACAGAAGGATGTTTAAATGAACTGGTTAAACATAGTCTGCGTTCCTTAACAGATACACACATGGCAGAAGAGCCTAATTATAAGGAATGTTTCTACAGAAACTGTTAGTAGGAACTTGGAGTTTCCAATCTACTATGATGATATGTCCCCATTTCCAGAACATCCTCTAGAAGGACCACAGAGAAAGATATAGCACACACCACCTACTGATGAGCCTATAAAAAAAGGCGAGCTGGTAAGCCAACAGAGCACTGAGTAACAAAGTAGTCTCTACATACACCAAGTGTAAGAATGAAGAAACATAAATACCAATGACAATAAACTATACTCCACACCAAAGCACAGTTGTAGATGGGCACCTTTACAGAACTGGTCCATATCCACATTTTCCCCAAGCAACATCACTTAAACAATATAGTGAGGTACATATTTTGAGATGTTCTATGCACAATTATTTTCTAGAAAGTGTAGATACCTACTCTGATTTTTATATGAAAAAGTAAAATAGTTAATTCATGCCTTATTATGAATGAAGTCTAATCAAATAGGAGGGTTGTAAAATGTGATGTATTTGTGTATATACTGTAGGTGCCGTTCTCAAGGTAGGTATATATCCTGACTTTTTTGTACAGGTTTGAAGTTGAAATCGAATTATATATACATATACTTTATCGTTCTAAATAAAGAATTTTATGCATTGTAAAAAAAAAAAACAAAGGAGAGCAGTGGGTAGCATTGGGAAAATAAAGACAATCAGCACATCCCTGCATTTAATGACCGTTTTCACTCTACTTATGGGGAACAATGTACTTACCTACTGGTAAGACAACAAAGCATTTTCTGTCCCTAAATTCACCTAGGCTCTCGTAATTGTAAGTTTGGACTAGACAGAACAGATTGTTTCCATCTGCCAGGAGTGTTCCTTCCAGGCATTGCAGCCTAATGAAGACTGTACCATCAGGGAGGACATCAAGGCCTCTGCCATGCTCTCCACAGCACATGGTATGTACCTCCAGCACAGCATTTGTACACTGTTGATTAAAAACCCCATCTTAAAGCTCAACTTGGTATCCCCAGAGATCAGTGTAGACGCTAAGGAAACAGATCAGTATTTCAAGACCCCAGCAAGGACTCTCACATTAAAATTCCCCTTTCATAAATTCTATCATCACTGAAATGCAACCACTAATGCCCACTACCTTTGAATTCCCTACTGCTATTACCTGAAGAACATTTTAAATTTTTAAATTTCTCATGAAAAGCTAAAACATTAGGTCACTAAAATCCACTCCACAATTGGAGACTCCTTGGAAGTTAGAGGAAGGTCACTGTCCAGACCCCTCATTCCCCAGCTCCACCCCCAGACCCATCACTCTGTGAACAGCAAGGCCCCTAGGACAAAAGAGGTTAACATTCAGTGAAGCCAGTTAGAGTGTGTGTATAGGAATCCTCCATACTATTTTAGCAGCTTTACTGCAAATCTAAAATTATCTCAAAATAAGAAAATGCTTCTGTCACAGATGACAGGCAGGACCCTAGGCCACATATGAAAAGAGGAAACTAAAGGAAGCCAGCTGTATTTAGAAATGCAGAAAAGCAGAGGCCTGAGGAGAAAGACCAAGTCTCAGCTTCCAGTTCCCAACTTTGCCAGGGACCAGACAGACTGTAACAATGCTTCCCACTGTAATGGAAATCTTGGACCTCCCCTAAAGACCCTGCCCTGCAAAGATAAATCATTCTTCAGCCAAAGTGATGTTTCCAATCCAGACCTTAACATTCCTGGCGTAGACAAACTACATACTAAAAGTAAATCTTTTAAAAATGTATTTATACCCACAAAGACAAGAACCTTAGAAGTATAACTAATTACTATGCTATGCTATGCTATGCTATGCTATGCTATGCTATGCTATGCTATGCTATGCTATGCTATGCTATGCTATACATACCTAGGCATCTACTCTAACACAATACAGTATTGGAAAGTGCTTCCAGGAGCACAGAGTAATAACCGAGCACCCTGGGTGCACTCCACCTGCATGCCAGCCTTCTGATGGCCACCATTCTCCTTGCCCCCAACCATTGTTTACTTGTTTGTCAGCTGAGAATGACAAGAGAGGTAAATCTCACACTTCACACAAGAATGGACTTGCAAATGCTGCCCTGGGTCTCCAAGGGCACAAGTCACATCTGCTAATGTATTTTGTACCATCCCTGGCTCAGTGCCCCATGAAGGTAAAGAGTTTAATAAATGTTTCCAGCGACACCAACAGCTATAAGAGTCAGCTTTCTTCCCAGCTCATTTACTTTCCTCGAGTAATATTTATTAAGTTTTCATTTGTACAAGGTTAGCCCTATGCTAATGCTGTTTACATTGTTCCCAAATGAAGTTAAATACATACCTCAGGGAAGATGTCCCTAAAACTCCAGAGGAGAAACTGCTGTGAGGATTGCTGACATTTGCCTGGAGTGAGGGGGCAGATGTTTCAGGACTGTTTCTACAAACTCATGCATAATTTCTAAGGAGAGCTCACTGGGGAGGCAGGAGGACTATAAGAGTAGCCTAGTGGAGAAACAGACTTTTCCAACGTTTGAGCTGCTTAGGCCAACCCGGAGAGTCAGCCCTTACTTTGTTATAGGACTCCGTGGGCTCTGATACCAAATAGCTAATTTGGGGTTAGCCTATGATTCTAAGTCTTTCAAGAGTACAAATATCCAATAGTGATCCTGAGCACCTCTCTACCGAGTCCACAAAGGTCTGGATCAATGACGTGCTGCTGATCCTGTAGAGAGGATGTACAAGGCAGCATGTTCTTTCCAACCCTTCACCCAAGCTCCAGCCTGGGGCCACAGCAATAGCAACTCGCCTTCTGCTCTGATGAAAAACCTCTAGATTGCCAGATCCTGGCAAAAGTCTAAGAACTCCAAAGCCACAAAATGAGATGACACTGGCCAATGGTCAGACCTTGGTGCACATCATCGCTAGACTATTATTGGAGGCAGGGACCCCAGAAGTACACAGCATCACTAGACTATGCATGGAGGCAGGGCCCCCAGAAGTACACAGTATCACTAGACTATGCATGGAGGCAGGGCCCCCAGAAGTACACAGCATCACTAGATTATGCATGGAGGCAGCGCCCCCAGAAGTATACAGCATCACTAGACTGAGTAGAGACAGGACCCCCAGAGGTACATATCAGCACTAGACTGAGTAGAGACAGGACCTCCAGAGGTACACATCATCACTAGACTGAGTAGAGACAGGACCTCCAGAGGTACACATCATCACTAGACTGAGTAGACACAGGACCTCCAGAGGTACACATCATCACTAGACTGTGCATAGAGGCAGAGCCCCCATAGATACACATCCACACCAGACTGCATGGAGGCAGGGCCCCCAGAAGGTCACATCCACACTAGACTGCATAGAGGCAGGGCCCCCAGAGGGTCACATCTGCACTAGACTGCATAGCGGCAGGGCCCCATAGATACACATCCACAGTAGACTGCATGGAGGCAGGGCCCCCAGAGGGTCACATCCGCACTAGACTGCATGGAGGCAGGGCCC